TGGAAATTGGTTAATTTTAGATATAAGAGCTAGCTAGCAATATGCTTAAGCTATTGTCCAAACAGCATTGCAAATAATATAGTTTCTGAGTGATTATTTCAAGTGTCTGGGTAGCCAGGAATGAACAAAAAGCTTCTAACAACAGACCTTTGCATTTGAGATGTCTCTGTAGGTCAAATGAAACAGAAGCCACTTTCTTGTCACCTCTTCAGATTTAGCTATCAGGCTTCATTTCATTCCTCAGACCTAACCTGCTCTCTTCTCTTTCCAAATGTCTTTCATCATTATGACAGAAAATGTTTAACGCAGACCGACTCAGCCTTCTGGCCAGTGTTTCATTATTTTCCTGGGTAGATTATTTTTATACATTCTAGATAGAGAATGTATGACAGAGTCAATGACAGAGTAAAGAACAATCTCATCTTGAGTCCAAGCTTAGTGAACCAATGCCTTTATTGGGACTGCAAGAGCATGGATGATCCAGGCAGCTGGATCATCAAGTGTCTCACTACAGCATGGGGGTTGATTCCTGAGAGTTCCATTACTGTAATCCCTTGCACAACTTGCAAGCACCTGCCCTATGGAGTCTCCTCCCCTTAGCAATTGCTTACAGCTTATATATTATCAGAAAGGGGCTTCCTGAGTCTTATAAGCTTCATGAACTTTGTGAAACTCATAAATTTCTTAGGAATTTCATGAATCTCACCTTCTCTCCACTAGGGATGGTTCAACCCAAAAGAATCAGCTATAGGACAGCAGCCACAGAGATATCAACCACTATGCAAGGCTTAAACTACCCAGGTCCTGTGGATAGCAGTGGCTGTGCTCACAAATATGAAAAGACCAATCAGCCAGGTTCTTGAAACAACTGCTCAAGACACTTCATTAGTGTGAGACTTTTGCTGGCAGATTATATTTAGAATCTACCACAGTTGCAGTCTTGACAATACCAAATTGGGATGGTCTCTATCTAAAATATCCATGATACTATTACATAAACAAATTATTTTTCTAAAATTCAGTATCTTTCTTTCTTAGCCAAAGGGAAAAAAATGAAAATATGCTTCTTTCAATGTGACAACTCTTGAGCACTTCATCAACCCATGTTTTCATTCCAGCTGTTGCTATAGCAACCAAATCAACAAGCTATCATCAGAAGTTTTAGTGGTCATTTTGGTCTATTGGCAAGCCCGAAATTTCAAAGAAATTAATATTACTGGAAAGAGATTGATCAGTGGGCAATCAATACTCCCTTCTTTAGACCATGAGACAATTTTTTTTTCTAAAAGTACCTTCTGCACAGCTCTTCAAAGGGTCCCCAGCAACCAGTTGAACACCATAGCCTTTGAACAGTTCTCTATTTTTCTTTGGTGTATCATTCTTGCTCTTTGGGGGTCACTTCTAGTGTGAATTGTCTTCATAAAAATCCTTGTTAGAGAGTTGGTGGGGCCAGGGGAGGCAAAGGAAGGTAACCATTTTTCAAGATACTTTTTTCAGTCCTGGAGCCTCTGTGATCAAGGACACATGCCTCCCTTTGTTTGTTTGTCTTACATCCCAACTGCAGTTTCCCCTCCTTTCTCTCGTCTTTATGTTGTTTAACTTATGCTTAGCATAGCAAACTGTTTATCTCTATTTCAGATCATTTTCTGTGTCTTCCTTCTACTTCAGTGTATCTCAGCAACTGAAAGAGGATGGAGGCAGAGGTTCGGTGCCATGTTTCTAAACCTTCCTGTATATTCAAATGAGTATTCTCTACCTTTGGCTAGAACTTCACAGACAAGAGCTGAGGAAACGCCCAACTCCCACCACCCTGTGGTGCTAACCTCCTCATGTTCTTAGGCATTTGGCCCTATCTAAATGCCCCCAGTTACTCTAATGTATGCCACCAATTGAGAACCATAACATAAGCATCAATATATACAAGATGGAAACTATTTAAGCAGCGATTAGTGCTACCTCAACTAAAATACACTTTAAATAATTGATACTCTCAAAATGAGGAGAAAGGAAAATGAGAGTTGACTCATTTGGCACAGAGACATTTTAGATACTCCGTGAGTGTAGCTCAGGATGGCTAAGGCAGAATCAAAGTGAAAATTGCATTAATCTATTTCTTTATTGATTTGATACCTTTAATGACTTAAGCATTATAGGGGGTCCAGAGTATGAAAAGAAGACTAGGAAAGAGTTTCTGCTCTCAATAACAAACTGTAATAACACCAGAACTTCGGATGAGGAATAAAACAATAGGGACTCTACTTTTTATTTTTGAATTGTTCATCTAAACCTGTTGATGAGGAAATTTTCTCCTTTTCTCCTTTTTAGAAATTCTGGCAGATCTGGAACTCTATATTTATTTATTTAATTTGGTGTCTTTTATTTACTTAAAATAGTCAAGATAGACATTTTAGAAAATTCCGAAAACAAGAAAATAAAAACTACTCTCAGAATTATTTTGCATTTTGATATCATCTTTCTTTTGTACTTCTTTGTGAATATAAGTTTGCAAATACATTTATTTATTCTTCTTTACTAATAATTAATATTTATTTATTAAAAATAATTAGTTAATCTTACATGCTACTAAAGCCTTCCCTCTCTCCTTTCTTCCCACTATCTGCCTCCTCCTCCCCTCTATGTACCCCTCCTTCTGATCGTCCAGAAAGGGGCAGGCTGCCCATGGACTTCAGTAAAGTATGGCATATCTAGCTGCCATAAGACTCAGCACTTCCCTCTGTATTCAGGCTGGGTAAGGCAATCCAGCATGAGGAATAAGTTCCCAAGAGCCAATCAAAACATCAGAGATAGCCTGTGCTCCCATTGCCTGGGGTCCCACATATAGACCTAGCTATACAACTGTCTCATATATGTAGAGGGCCTAGGTCAGTCATAAGCACGCTCCCTGGTTGTTGGGTCAGGCTCTGTGAGATCCCATGAGCCAGGACAGTGATTTCTGTAGGTTTTCCTACAATGTTCCTGATCCCTCCTGTTTCCTATAATCCCTCCTAGACATAAACTTCTTTTGTACTCTATTTTCACTTATGCTACAACACAGCAGCTTAATTCCTTCAAGTATTTGTCCAAAGTGTGTGGTTTCTTCAGCAATAGGATTTTATTTTCAAGCTCTGTTAAGACGACAAAGGGCAACAGCAATAACCTATATTTTGGGGATAGTCTCTTGTATTCCCAGGACCAACAATTCAAAAGGAGGTTCCTTGTGTCTGGTATTGGGGTTGTGTTAAATAGAATACGGCTCTTGAAGTATCAAATTTATACCTCTGTGATATAAATTTGAAATTATTTACATATGTTGGTATTCAATGTGATTTTAGTTAGATATTAAAATGTATTCTTATGGTTTTTTCAAACATCCTTAGTGTTTTTAATCCCTCACCCCTTCCTCTCTGTCCATAGTCTATGCCCACTGTTCTCAGTTAAATCTCCCTTACTTTTCCCATTTCCCCCGGTGTCCTGCTATTCCTCTCTCTAGAGTTCCTTCTCACCACCTGATCCCCCTTTACTTTCCTGTAGTTACTCCAAGTTATAGATTCCCATCTAAAGATTAAGAGCCAGGATCCACAAATAATACAGAATATGTGTTATTCATCTCTTTGCATCTAGGTTATCTCATTCAGTATAATATGCTTTAGTTCTATTAATTTCCCTGCAAAATTCATGATTTCATATTTATATGAAATATAATGAATTATATAAAAATTATATTATATGAAATATATATATTTCATTATCCTTTCGTCAGTTGAAGGGCTGTTAGGTTCTTTTGATTACTAGCTATTACGAATAGAGCAGCAGTGAACATGGCTGAGCAAGTGTCTGTGGAATATGATGTTGAGTCCTTTGCACGGGCCATACAATAGGCCTACATTTATATTTCTGAGAATTGTCCATACTGGTTTACAGGACTGCTTCAGCTTGTGTCTGATGCTTCCTAAGGCTGTTAAACATCTGATGATCACCCTCAACTCCCAATTTTCTCGCCTCCATTTCTCAAGTTCTGGGATTATAGACATGCATTAGCATGCCTAATTGTATGAAATATTGGAGATCTAACCTAGGGCTTTGTGTATGCTAATTAAGCATGCTACCAATTGAGGTAAACTCCACCCCTCTATTATTTATAGGCTTTATCTATATCTAGACAGATCTTGAATCTGAAATCTTCCCAAGTGCTGGAATTTTAGGTGTAAGCCACCAAAGCCAGCTACCCATTCTTCTTAAACAGAAAAATAATCCTATAGTTTAAGTCACAAAGCACAGTACAACTGTAGTAATTTAAATGACTAATAAGTACTGAGGAATAATAAAATCCCTGATTTTCACTAATCCTCCAATTTCCGTCCTCCTTGTATTAGTTTTGATTTGTTTCTGCTTAGGATAAAACCTGGGGCTGTGGCATGCTGCTTGAGTGTCCCACCACCAAGTAACTATTCTAATCCTAGCAGTACATTTTAAAACAGATTTAGAAATCCCAAAAGAGATACGAATTCTTAACAGGTTCTTTACGTTTTTCATTTAGTTTCTAAAGGTCCCATAAATCCATGCACATGAATGTCACTGTAGGAACAGAAATTCTAGTATTATTTATTAATCCCTGGAGTCAAGAAGGGTGAGCTCTTCAAAATGATGATCTCATTTATAATCAATTTATACAGGACTTAATGGACTGTGACATTATAGTTTGCAATTAATGGGTTTACCTAATAAAGAGCACCACTCTGATATGAAGTATGAAAGGTCAGCTGAAGTGTTATAATTATTTGAATAGGTTATGAATCTTATGTTAGTTAGTGTCTATTATTTTGATGGACTTTGGCTGGAGATAAGAGCAAGAAGCTGTGTCTTACTGAACAATTTTAAATTATTTACCATATATGTGAGTTCATGATGAATCACACTTTCAAAATGCACATAACATCTAGACTCTTGGTTTGGCTTATCAAAACCTTTAATGTTCACCCAAAAAGAAGAAACAACAAACATATGCTCAAACAGATTTATTTTAATTACTTAAGTGTGTCTTAATCAATTAATGGACTTATAATGAAGATACAAAAGAACGGCCAAGGTAAGACTTCCACTCTCAAGAAAAATAAAAATCAGTTGGCAATACTGCACAAAACAGCAAGACTAAAGGCTATCTACTGAGTAGCACAATACCAGTCAAAACAAAGTGTGTCTATTCTAAAAATTGAGGGGGCAGAAAAGTTGGAAATGGGTGGAACACAGTAGAGGCGCTCACAAGCAGCCAAAATGGAAAACAAGTTACTGTAATTTCTCACTCCATGTTCGCTGCGTGTTTGTGAAATTTTATAACAACCCCTTCCCAAAGCCTTCCTGCTGCACAGAATGAGACTACTATGGGTGTGGAAGGCCCTTCCTTAGAAACGCACAAGCAGGCCCCTTTTGTGGGCCAGAAAACCAAGAGCTGTTGCTGAAAAGATGGTGGTCAATCCAAGCAGCTTTAGCAGGCCTGGCACAGAAGGCAAGTGTCTCTCCAGGAAGGTGCTGGTAATGGGTCGTGCAGGGACATCCTGGGTTCAGAGAACATTTGCGTGAGTACAATATTGAACATGTCATTCCAGAAACTATTTCTTTCAGATTTATTTTAGAGTAACCCACTCATTTCAACCTCTGGTATAAAACACAACAGTCCCTTGTGGCTCACCCCCTCTTCTTCACCTGGCCATTTATGTGACTTTGCTAGTCTTTCTGCATCCCAAGGCTGAGATGGCTCCACCTCTCATATTTTCTCTTAGGGTATCCTCTGCCAGAATCATACTTTGGGGTTATTCTCTGTCTTTCCATCTGAAAGCCCTTGCATTCTCAGACCACAGGTCCTTGCAAATCATAAGTGTTTGTTGAGAGAGGATGGATGAATTTCCCTCTCAGCCCACCAACCTATTTCTAGCAGAAGTACTCGGACAGTAATTTTGGAGTGTCAGGGCTGTCCTCTATAGCTTTAAGCTTAAAAGGATAGAAGAATAACTGACCTTATGGATACACGCTCTCTAAACTCTGTGCATCCTTCCCGCAAGTCAGAAAAAAATTCTATGGTTTTATTACAAAAAATGTAATTGAAGTGAGTTTAAATGTGTTTCACTTTGTTCTACTCCTTCACCACATGGTAAAGATGAGAAACTTTCCCTACCTCTTCTTTTTCTACCTTATTTTCCTATTTCCTTTTGAGAATCATTAAATGAGACCATTCAATAGACATTGAAGCTCTTATGATTGAGTTCTTATTTTGAGTTTTGTTTCTTTTTACCCTCTTTCTTTTGTTTCTTGTCTTGTTAGAGATCTAATGCAGGATCTTACACATGCTAAGCAACCATTTTGCCTCATCCCCACTCAATTTTAAGTATGTCTAGAGTTCTCTAGAAAATATTTCCTTATGATAAAAATCATTTTTTCTTATTAATTTGCAAGATATATAGCACTGTAAATTTATCAAAGTTCATATAAACCTGTAATTCATGTGATTTACTTAGATAGCAATACATAGAATCATTAAGAAAAGGAATCTGCATATATACAATTATGCTCATGGGAACAATCATTGTTAGAGTAAATTTGTGAAATATAGCTTACCACAGACTCTGGTTCTGGCTGCCAAATTTCATCTTCTGGAATCTTCCCAATGGCATGTAGAATCTGAAATGAAAGATTACCTTGACAAATAGCAAAACAGATACTATCTTTCTTTTATTCTTTAAGAAAGAATGAAGTGAATGCCTCTTGGGATATCAAGGTAAAGGGCAGAGAAATCTACTTGACCATTAGAAAGATCCCTAAAGATCTTTTATTTATGGCATAAAAGGTCTCAACCATTAGTTTCACCATAAATTTTAGTGTATGTGAACATACCTTAGTGGGAATGAGACTAGAAGACTTGCCAGAAAAAGAATAATATGTATTATGAATCCTTGTGGAAATACTTTTTGATTCTATAACATCAGGTCTAGGTGATCATTTTTATTTAAAAATTTTAATAAATGTATCTGTATGTGTACTTATTGAGTGGCTGATAAGGAGGGCTGACTGAGAAGCTAAGGACAATAGCACTGGGTTTTGATTCTACTGCATGTACTGGCTGTGTGAGAACTTAGTCTGTTTGGATGCTCACCTTCCTAGACCTGGATGTAGTGGGGAGGACCTTGGACTTCCCACAGGGCAGGGAACCCTGACTGCTCTTTAGACTAGAGAGGGAATGAGGGGAAGGGGAGGGAAATGGGAGGAGGGGAGGATGGGAAGGAAGTGAAAATTTGTAATAATAATAATAATAATTGCATCAGGTGCTTGGAGAAAGCTTTGGAGATCACAGGAGGCCATCAGATCCCCTAGAACTGAATGTGGGTGCTGAGAACCAAGCCTCTGCAAGAGCAATGAGTGCTCTTAACTGTGAGACCCCTTTCCAGACCCTCTATTTTTAAAGACCTGTTGTATTTGTAGTTATATGCATGTGTGTGTCTGATGTGCAGATGTCCTCTGGCTCTGAAGATGGCATTGTTTCCCCTGCAAATTAAGTTATAGGCAGTTGTGAGCCTCCTGATGTGGGCACTGGGAACCAAACTCAGGTTCTATCAAAGAGTAGGAAGCTCTCTTAACTGCTGGACCATCAGTTAATATCTCTTAAGTACAACTGAAATCTGACCTCCAGTTCAAGTAAAATATTAGATATTTTCATTATTTTGTTTGATTAAGCTGTTCCTTTTCCTTAAAACTGCTATTATAATGGTTTCCCAGGTCTATAGCTGGGGAATATGGTTTGTGTGGGGATACTGCCAAGCTCTCAGGTATTTTTGAGCTGTTTATCAAGCTTTTGTGCACCTCAAGCCCATGATCCTGGGCCCTACCTCTCTGGCAGCTCTCTCCCCAGCCTCCACAGCTCCCTCCATGTAGCCACTCCAGTGTGTGGCCGTCTCAGTGCCTGCAAAGAAAATCCTGCCCACTGGCTGACGTAGAACCCTGGGAACAAACACAGAGCAGTAAATGTGATTTTATAAATCCAGAAATGAGTTCTCTCATGAGGACCCAGGTCAGTTCATTTCTTAGATTAAAAACTTCTAGGAAGACACTGGCAATGTGGAATAATGTTCCGTAGGGACCTTAGATATTCTATAATCTCTGTCATGGGCAAAATGGAACAAAAGTTGAAGTTCACACACTCCGGTTCCAAGAGACTACAGGGAAAAGATCTGACATTAATATGGACAAAATAAGTATTTGATTATCTTTATGAAGTAAGGGACTGATTAAGCCAAGCATGTATGGTTACCTTTATATGAGGAAGGTGTCACATGCTTCTGATTTCTTACCTAGTTATTCTACCATTAAACTTGACAGTTTCTTCTAACCAAGCTTTGCCCTCCTCATCTGTTTTTAATAATTACTTGTTTTGTTTTATTTCTGTATAATACATAATGTATCCAAAGACTTTATATATGCTAGGTATGTGTTCCACTACTGAACCGCATCCCCAGACCTTATCTATGTCTTAAAGGGATAGTCTAATGATTTTAAAGATGGCTTATAATATTAAAACTGAAGAAATAAATAAGTCTTATGGCTAATGATAACTAACTCCTATTCGCTACATTTCAGAATAATTACATCAAACTTTAAGTTAAAAATTGTTGGGCACCAGCTCTTCAAAGTTCATTACTCCCCACCAAACCCCTAGTACTATTATTATACACATTTCCACAGGAGAATGTGGAGTCAGACTGTGGTAGGCCCTGTGATGCACTACCAGGAATGAAGGACTTGTTTGTTGGTGGAAGTCCTTCCAGAAGATGGTATTCTCATGCGGGCACTCGTTGGAGGTGGCTATTTCCACTGGAGAAAACTACATCATGACTCCTTCCAGCACCAGTGACTGACAGAAATAAGCTTTTAAAAAATGCAAGCCCCAAACTTCAACATGAGACCACTTGGAAGGACCATTCTACTTCTAGAATGCTTTTAGAATGCTTCATGGGGTCAGCTGGCACCTTTGTTGAAATTGCATCATCACCTCGCTTGCCCTTCCAGATACTCTTGCTTCCTTCCTCTCCCTTTCCCTAGTTTCAATCCTAAGGACACAGCGGAATATCTATCCTGTTTACTGCTTGCTTCAGGGTCTTCTTCCTAGAATGTAACCAACAACAAAAGTGAAGTGCTTTTCTCTAGTTTACAGACAGCAAATAGCAGAGGTAGTATTCGAATCCAAGTGATCTAACAACTCTAACACAGTCTTGCTACATGTCATCTCTGTACTCCGTTCTATTTTCTTTGTAATCTTTTCAAGAACTCCATGACAGACTACTAGTTAACATCTCACATTATGTAGAAACCAACAGGCTCAGAGCAATGTGCAGTGACTCAGCAAGAGCCACAGTGCTAGAAAACTGCAGATGCAGCATTTGAAATATGTCGAGCAGCTGCCAACATCTCTATTTTTACCATCTATGTGTTACCTAATATATTACCATCACAGTTTCCATAGTGCTAGCATTCTAAGCAAAGAGATGGAAAGATCACAGGCATGTAGCCCATAAGAATGAAAGTCCGTTATCACGCTTACAAACACACCTTAAAAGGAGTACCATTTACAGCCATTTTCATTCCATCTCAGGCTTCCATGATCAAAAAAGGTTCTTAACTGTTGAGCCACTTCTAAATCCTTGATTCTTGTCATTCTGTCGTCAGTATCTCCTATAGCCCCGTCACACCTAGCTTTGCCCAAGGCCTCGTTTGCAGGATTCCAAACAATGATTGCTTCCATACCATTTGGCCTAGACTGCATTCCCCAGGAGGCTTCTTCTGCTCCCTGCAGCCTGACACAAAGCCATTGCACTTCACTAGCTAAGGTGAGATTGCAGAATTCCACAAGTCCCCAGAATATTTTATAGCCTTTAACGAAAGCACTGGCACTAGTACTTTAGTACTTCCATTTCTAATGTTCTGTCCTTCCTCTGCTTCCCACCATTGCCTCCAACACTGTCAACTCTTCAGAAAGGGGGTACTGATATTGACATCTTTAGAAACAGTAAGGAAATGGTTGGCACTTATCCAGTACACACCGATGAATTGTACTTAGTTTGTACCTAGCATATCTGAAAAGCAACCTAATGACTCAGAATTTTACTGAACAGTATCAATATCCTTTAGCCCTCAAATTTTCTCTGGATTCTATTTTGGCCTCTATAGGCAGATAAGGAACATAATCTCCAGAATCATTAACCATCTTCTGCTAAACAAATTTTGACCCTTCTTCCACACTGGTTCTCATGGAGAGCTGGATTACTTGCCTTTACCCATTAACACTCTGTGTTGTACTCTCTCAATGCCCTTTCATTATTTCTCCTGATTTAGTTTAGTGTTGCTAGGAGAATTGGAGTAATGACCCTTAATTTACACCTTGTTATCATCATCAAATGCATTGAACTCAACACCAGTGACTCATACTTGGATGCACAATGCTCTTACTACTAAAAACCTATGAACTCTGAATGGGAGAGTCATATCATATGTTATAATCAGGATAAAGTTTCTAAAGAATAACTCAGACAATAATTACATTATCTTGTGTTTCTCATCCACGTGCTAAGGAAAATCAAATCCAACAACAATAATGACTAAATAGTTGATTGTTAGTAATAGAGTAGGAACCCAAGCCCTTTCCTCCCTGGTCTAGAATTGATTCTAAGTTTACAGTGCCATGCCCACATTGACACAGAACAGTGCCTGGGGAAGTTTATTGAGTTCCAGACTAAGTATTAGGACACAGTACTGTCAATCTTAACGAACCCTCTGGCTATTTAAAGTGCTTCTTACGTGTCAACTTTCTCTGGTTATATTGGTTGAGTTTGCTTCTCTAGCAGAATGAAGAACGGAACCAGCAAACATGGTGCAGCACTGTGACTTCCTTTATGAAACGCATGAGCATCAAAGGAAGTTGGGGATATTTTTTCTCTCTGGTATTGACAAAAACTAGCAAGAAACACGGTAACACTTATCTGGAGCTTGGCTTCAATTGCAGGGCTTTCAGTCACAGCTCGGTTCATTTTTATTTATTAAACATGGCTTGTTTGAATAATGTGTGCCAGCCCTGTATGAGTTGGTGCAGTGATGGGGCAGTACCTTCCATACTGGGTCATGATGCCGGGAGGGAAGTAGGTTGTGTAGCAACCTCCGGAGTACTGCTCTTCACACCAGTTCATCTCTTCATAATGGACTGGCTGTGAGGAAGAGGGACAAAAGCTTGAAAGAGAGGCAGAGGATGGTATCTTGTCTATTGTGTATCCAGTACATGCTTATAGACTTCATTGTACAGAACAAATTGCACCTGTCTCTTAGAATCTGAAAGACACTGCTTCCAAGCCTTCCTGCTCCCTCAAGTCTTTTGTAGAAATTAGTGCAGTATTTGCATGTAATGTGTGCAACCCTCCTGTATGTTTTAATTCATCTCTAGATTAGTTATAGCACACACTGCAATAAAATGCCATGCAAATACTTATCACACTGAAACTTCAGGGTTTGGGCAGTTTTTCAAATATCTTTCAGGACCTGTACATACAGAAGGCTATATGCACTTCTGAAATACAGCCGTATTATCCTGATGTTTCTTAAGACATGTCTTTGGGCAGGTAAATGTTTTGAATAATAAACTTGTGATAATTTCAGACATTACAAAGTTTTCTCATTTGTCACATACCTGTCTTAATTTAATTATGCTCTGAGACAAAGTTTTCTCATGTGGTATAAGCTTACCTAAGAGTCTTGATTCTCCTCTCCTGCCTCTACCTTCCAAGTACTGGGATCATGGAAATGCACCACTATTCCTGAACATGGGTATCTTAAGTTCTTGCTCATAATAATTATCGGTTTCCAGTTTCACTTTCTTTTACCTATCAGAAAGCTCTTAGTGTTCAATGGTTTTGAAAAAGTTTGAAAATGATATAGTTTACAAGGATGGCTGACCAAGAAAAACAACCAGAAGTGTTTATCTATGAAAGAGACGATGTTTTGGTAGCAGCAAGCTTTGCTGAAGGTAGAATAGTATATGCTCACTATGCCAGGATGGTTGAACCTGTAAAACAACCACTGGTCTGGAAAATGTGTTTTAGTCATTAAGAGGCTGTATTTTAGTTGAGAGATTTGCAAAATCCGAACTCCTTATAAAAATAGAGCACAGACCTAGCATGCAACACCCTAGGTTCAATTCTACCTGGGGATGGGGGGAGCCAACAATGAATAACCTAGACAGAAAGTTTATTATTAAGCATATTTTGAAAACAGAACATTGATATAACAAAATATTTAGAACTAGACTTTGAAAGCTTTTTTTTTTTTAAATTCAATCATTTAGTTGACTTTGCATAGTCATTTAAGGCGCCCTATTTACAAAGTGTGAGGGCCTGCCTAAGTAGTGAAAGGCCCTAAGTCCCTTTCGGTGTTATCCCTATCATTATGCTTTCTTTTGACATCTGAGGGCAGCTGTTGTTTTCTGAGCATCTTTCTCTGGCTCTTTGCAGCCAATCAGAAGAAAGGTTGGGCATTTTTTTCATTTCCTCTTTCTCCAAGGAATTTCTTTCTCTGACACAACAAATATCAAAGTCACACTGAAGCAGGTGACTTTCTTTGTATAAAAACACACACCAGGACAAAAACAACATCTTTTCAGCATTAGAAATTGATCATCAATATCCTTTTTAGAAGACACTTTATCAAATAAAAATTATCACCTTTTAGAAAATACAAAAACAACTTCTTATCTCATTAAACAATCATTCAATGATTTCATACGGTGCCGGAGAATTTGATTTACAAACTGCTGTCACCCAAATGCCTGCTCTGGGAACAGCTCTGACTTTAGGGACAAAAGAAGCACTACCTAAGCCCAGAGTATGCCCCAGGTTCCTTGCCTCATATATACACAGACAGGACTAGCTCACACTTTATGGAACCATTTATACATTAAACCTATATGTACAGACCCTTCTGTGATTCTTTGGGAAAAGATGAGCAGTAGGGTTCAACTGACACAAACCTGTCCCTGAAAATGCTTTTGGGGCAAAAAATAACCCCAGGCCTCTCCCCATTGGAAAAAAGGCTGGGAAACCTTACCTGCAGAGCTTCTTGGGAGTTCAGAACTTTTGCATATAGCTCGCAAAGTTTCTTCAGTCTGTACAAAGAGAAAAAAAATAATGTTTTAATGATGAAAATGAAGGTTAAAGGAACTGAGACAAAGAAAGAGTCAGAGACATTTATTCCCTGTATCAAAGTCTCTGAGTGCTAGCTTTTCCACTTTGGCATTTCATGTTAACTAATTACTGTTTTCTTTTGTTTGAGATACTACACTGCTATGTAACCCAGGCTTGCTTGGCATTCTCATTCTTCCTGCCCTGACCTCTCATGAAAGATGATTACAGGAAAGTGTGAACATACCCAACTTCATTTTAATTTTTGAAAACAAAGAGTTTATCATATTTCTAATATCTTAAAACCAATAGGGAGACTATTGCTAAATCTTTAAGAAAGAAACTAAAGTGAATCTCTGGGTATATCAACTTGGAAAGGCGAGTCTCAGGTTCATCCCCTGACTTTTCAACTTGGAAAGGAAAGTAGCAGCAGTCTGCATTTTACAAGCCTTCCAAGTGAATCTCAAATTTGAAAACCACCAATATAAGGTTTCTAGTCCAATAATGGTTTCTTATAAATAAATTCTTAGCAAATTCTAGCTTCTAAGTCTAGTGGTAGAGTTGGAAGTAAGCCGGCAATTATAATTAACCAAATAAGATGAATCAACTAGTTTATCAATTAACATAAATCTGATGGAGGAAGGTCATTGGCTAATAAAGGAACTGCCTTGACCCATTTTATTGGTTAGAGGATAGGTAGGAGTAAACAGAACAGAACGCTGGGAGGAAGAGGAAGTGAGCTCAGTCTCGACAGCTCTCCTCTCAGGAGCAGACGCCTGAGAGAGACGCCATGCCCCGCTCCCGGGATGAAGCTCCGACCCAGGATGGACATAGGCTAGAATCTTCCTGGTAAGCGCACCTTGGGGTGCCATACACAGATGATTAGAAATGGGCTAAATTAATATGTGAGAATTAGCCTAGAAGAGAATGGGCCAAGCAGTGTTTAAATGAATACAGTTTGTGTGTTGTTATTTCGGGGCATAAGCTAAGCTAGCAGTGCGGGCAGCTGGGGTGCTGGGGACGCAGCCCCGCCGCCCTTATTACTACATAAATCTAGCTAATGATATATGTCTTTAAATAAATATAGCTGTTTCAATACTGGTTTTATAGATTAGTAATACTATAAAGGGGATCGTAAGCATGATTTAGAGTTGTAAAAGTAGTATTATCATGAACTGGAGAGTGGGCTCAGGAGTTAAGAGAGTTGCTGCTATTCCAGAGGACTTGAGTTCAATACTCAGCATTCATGTGGTAGCTCACAGCAGGTTGCAATCCCTGCCCCAGGGCATCCAGCACATTCTTCTAGTATCATCAGGCACCAGGCGTAGCGCAATATGGTGCACACACATACATGCAGGCAAAACACTCATACACATAAAACTAAATCTCTTTCTAAAATGTAATCTTGTTTTAAATCTAGGAACTCTTTCTACAAGCAGATGACCAAAAACTCTTACTTTCTTCTGCATCTCTCTTCCTCTGAAATAGCTTGGCACGGACAGAGGAATGATGACAGAATAAAGGTATGCAGGTAACATTAGAAATGGAATGAAATCTATAAAGAGGATTAGAATCCAGAAAGGTGGGCCTTTTAAACCCTTGGAGAAGAGACTGATAATTCCAAAATATGGCTGCCAAAGAAAGAAATGAAATTGAACCTTCACTTCTTTTTAAAAAGTTATATTTTATTTATTATTTGAGAAGTTTTTACATATATGCAATATATTTTGATCATTTCTCTCCTCCAATCTTCCCCTTAACTCCTTCCATATCTATTCCCAATCCCCTCCTTTTTTAATGACTCACCAAGTCCAATATGTACTAGCTATTTATTCATGGATGTGAGCTCAGCCACCAGACCATGGTCAGTTTACTAGAGTCTACATCCTAGAAGGCATCAATAACTCTTTGGTTATTAATAAGCAGTCATGAGTACCTCGACGCTCCATGATATAAACTCTTACTTCAAAATATACTTCAGAAAAAGAAAAGATTTTCAGATAGAGTCCAGAGATGGGCACGGTGTTGCATGCCTGTGATTTCAGCACTTGAGAGATGGGGGCAGGAAGCCTGGGACTTAAAAGCAAGCCTGGGCCAAATAGTGAGTCAGAGGGCAGCCTGACTAGGCAGCAAGTCACCTAACTCCTCTTTCATTATTAGTCCCAAAGTGGTGGAAAAATGGATAATTAAAAATACATATCTTGGAGGGCTGGAGAAATAAATCAGTGGTTAAGAGTGTATATTGTTGGGGCTGGAGAGATGGCTCAGAGGTTAAGAGCATTGCCTGCTCCTCCAAAGGTCCTGAGTTCAAGTCCCAGCAACAACATGGTGGCTCACAACCATCTGTAATGGGGTCTGGTGCCCTCTTCTGGCCTTCAGGCATACACACAGACAGAATATTGTATACATAATGAATAAATAAATATTTAGAAAAAAGAGTGTATATTGTTCATTGGAGGACCCATGTTAAGTTCCCAGAATCTACACTGGGCAGTTCATAGTTGCCCCAAACTTCAGTTCTAGAGGTATCCAACACCTCTGGCCTCCAAGGGAACCTTCACTCACATGTACACACACACACACACACACACACACATGTTACATAGACATACACACAAGCACTCACCCACATGACACACATGTTTAGAAAATAAAATCTAAACAAAAGATAGAGCACAAACAGTATTTTGGAATAGAATTTTTCTGTGTATGACAGATCATTTATTAAACTGTTAAAATGAATAACCTTGACCACATAAAAAGATACAGCTGAAGCCGGGCGGTGGTGGCGCACGCCTTTAATCCCAGCACTTGGGAGGCAGAGGCAGGCGGATCTCTGTGAGTTCGAAACCAGCCTGGTCTACAAGAGCTAGTTCCAGGACAGGCTCCAAAACCACAGAGAAACCCTGTCTCGAAAAACCAAAAAGAAAAAAGATACAGCTGTTACAGTATATGATGATTAAGTTCTGAACATGATCAAAAAGACAAATTGGGAAAAGACGTGTTCAAGGCATTGAAGATTAAGTAGTGAGTCAATCAGATAACACTTCCTAAATTTCATGGATCTTATATTCCATTGGGAATATTTTAAAATCTATGTCCCAGTCAGACTTCCACAACTCTGGCAATGCATCAATGTAGCACTGGTTTTGGAGAACAAGCTGATGCAGACAGAAAGAATGCATTGTAAAGTCATTTAGGCTTTGGGTCATTAAATATGTTACCAGTGGTGAATGAAAAATTGCCAGAAGACATAACCTCCAGAGAAATTAGTCTCTGTATCTATAATCTACAATTGCTATGCATCACTTATGTAGTGCTGCCTAACCTAGCAATTTGTCTACTTCTCTCCTTCATAAGTAAATGTTCAGCACTCTGATTATGTCCTTTTTTATACTGTTCATAGTTCTGAGCATAATGTCTTTGTACAATAACTTGATAAGTAGTAATTTGAATATTTGGTTCTTAAGTAATAAGCATTGTGGCATATAAGACCCTTGTCATTTGCATAGCAGATACATCACATTAGTAATGCACATATTATAGGGTATTTTGTAAGTTAAAAAGCAAATAAACACTGAAAAACAACTAAATAGTCAAAAATGAAAGAAGAAAGGAGGGAGACAAAAAGGCAGAGGAAAGAAAGGCAACTTACTTGAAAAGCCACACTCCCTATTTAGTATGTGTTCTTGCTCTAAAAAATTATTTTCTTCCAACTTAAAAAATAAAAGGAAGTAAGGAAATAAGAAAGGACAGTAGAAGATAGGAAGAGAAGGAAGAATGGCAGACAAGGGATGAAGCAGGGCAAATGAGGGAGGAAAGGAAGTTGGCAGGGAATGAGGGAAGGAAGCAGAGCGAGAAAAGGAAGGAAGGAGGAGGGACTTGGGTGAGGGAGAGGAAGAAGAGAGGGAAGAAAGAAAGAAAGAAAGAGAGAGAGAGAAAGAAAGAAAGAAAGAAAGAAAGAAAGAAAGAAAGAAAGAAAGAAAGAAAGAAAGAAAGAAAGAAAGAAAGAAAGAACATTTTGTTACCTTTCTTCTTTGGTAAGGCGTGTCAGTTTTCTAGCTTTGTGAGCCAGGATAAATCTGAAAACACAAATAAGAAAAAGTGGGCAGTTTAATACTTTCTTTCATCACACACACTCTGTGCAGCATGTAGAAGAAACCATTTATATACTAACAATGTTCATAGTGTCCCTGTTTTTATATTGCATTCCTGACAGTGAGGAGCACTTTCTGGCTTTGGGAGATCAAGGTACCAAAAGTAAATGTCTGGCCATGATTTCTGCCTACGGTAATATGGTGACGGAACCACTGCCCTCCAGCAAGCTGGTGACCAAGAGGAAAGGACTTGGACTTCAAATGCTCACTTAAGGCTGTGTCTGAGGTCTCCAGTCCTTTGCCCTCTTGCCCTTTGGTTCTGTCTGTAACACTTAGATTTTTGGATGCTGTCACATTTCCAACTCAACAATTGCTTTCTTCTTAGCAACTTGTTTTGCCCTACCTGTTCTCGCCTTGGCCTTCTGTTGGTCATCTCAATGTTTACTCTAGTAAATATGTCTTTATATCCACTACTGACCCCCAAACACTCTTCAGCTATGCCAGTCTTCCCTAGCAAGGTGAAGATAGGGCTGGCCTTCACTTCTTTGTAGTGGGACTCAGAAAAAAAGCTCACTCTCATAAGTAACATTTACTGTGAGTTAGATAGAATGGTCATTACCCAAACTCATGTTGAATTATAATGACATTGAGAGGTGGTAGGGACTTTCAGAACATTACTTTGTTAGAAATTCAAAGGACTAATATGCTTTTTGTTAGAAATTCAAAGGACTAATATGCTTTTCATAACAGTGGTTTACTTCTTAGGAGAGTGGGCTATTTTAGATAGCAAGCTTGGTTTCTCTGCTTGCTTCTTTCAATCCACTCTTGCCATGTGATTTTGCAACAGATGTTTATCCCTCCCACTTTTCTGCCATGTATGGAGTAGCATAAGTTCCTCATTAGAAGCCGAGTGCATATTGATTCCATGCGCTTGCACTTCCAAAACTGTGAGCTACAGCGAAGCTCTTTGCTTCGTCAGTTGGTCAGTCTTAAGAACTTTGCTGCAGCAACAGACAACATAGTAAACAACATGGATGCCCACAAACTACTTAGTAAAACACTCCTCCTAGTAATACACTGAGTAAGATCAGTCTATCATGTAAAGATGTCCCCCAAATATATCTACTAATACATTAAATATGAGGTAGAAAATTGATACAACAAAATTTAAATGTTATTCGTATTTGACATCTAGGTATTTATTAATTAAAAAGAAGGAATAAAATACTTCTAACACTGAATTCAGAGATTAGTACTATCAAGTAAAAAAATCTTTTAACAAAGCTTTTATTCCTTAATCAACAGTATTCTATTGCTTTGCCAATAGCAAATACGACTACAATACTATAATTGTGCCTTACCCAATTATAGCGGCATAACTGCCATCGGGTTTGGTATCATCCAATGTGTATGCAATTGGAGCTTCCTCTCCTTCAATAACCATGGTTCCACAGAAATCTTAGAAAACAGTGAAGTGAATGAACATGTTCATTACCATATCATTTCACCCACAACAAATGCAATTAAACATACAGTTTTCAACTTGAGAAATTTGGAGGCCAAACATAACACATTATATTCTAAGTATATGAAAGCAAATTAAACTGATGTCAAGGAGACGGCTAGGTAATCAAGGTCTTAGGAAAAAAGTGAGTAGGTCCAGACATTGTAGCACAGCTGGTACAGTGCCTTGGATTTGTTCCCCAGCAGTGAACAAACTGGGTGTGGTGGTACATACCTGTGATCCCCACACCTGGAGGTAGAGGCAGGAACCTCAGGTATATAGTGATTTTGAGACCAACTATGTAAAACACTGTCTTGAACAAAATCAAAGTGGTAAATGGAAATGGAAATACAAGAGACTACATGTTCCTATTTCATGAGGAGCTGCTCCTCTTCCAACTTTTCTTTTAGGGTGGGGTCTCACTATATTGTTCAAGCCAGTCATGAACTCCGGGTCTCATGTGACCTTCCTGCCTCAGCCTCTTGAATAGCTAGGACTACAGATGGTCCTACTGTGTCATGACACTTAATGACTTAATGCCAGTTGAAGCAGCCTTCAACTTTTAGAACACAGGGTAGAGAGCACATGGGAAACTAAAATGAACCACATAGTCCCATTTTAAACCTGACCTCTAAAGACTCTTTTCTTTCAAGAATAGCAACATGGGTAAGAATTTTAATTTATTCTGAATTAAGGTAATCTTATCATCACTGTATGGAACAAAATACAGTTGGACCTCTGTATCTGTGAGTTCTGTAACAGTCAATTCAAACTTACTATCAAAAAAAATTTAAGGGGGCTGGAGAGATGGCTCAGAGGTTAAGAGCATTGCCTGCTCTTCCAAAGGTCCTGAGTTCAATTCCCAGCAACCACATGGTGGCTCACAACCATCTGTAATGGGGTCTGGTGCCCTCCTCTGGCCTGCAGGCATACACACAGACAGAATATTGTATACATAATAAACAAACAAACAAACAAACAAATAAATAAATAAATGGGAAAAAATTTAAGGACAGGCTTGGTGGCACATATCTTTAACCCAAGCATATTCTAGATAGAGACAGGAGAATTTCTGTGCATTCAATACTAGTTAGCTGGTCTACATAGTGAATTCTAAGACAGCCAGGGCTACATAAAGTGATCCTGTTTCAAAGAACCAAAAACATTTTTAGTTAAATCTATACTAACTGAATATATCAACTTTTTCTTGCTATGATTCCCTATGTATAGTGTTTATATTGCAGTGTTTATATTATTTATACATATACATATATTATATACACACATATATAGTATAAACATATATGTTGTATAATTGCTATTAGATGGCAACATGTATTAAGTATTTTAAATAGAAATTATTTAGAGTATATTGGAGAATATGTGATAGGGAGGTGGAGAGGATCTGGAAGGAGGAGTGAAAGAATATGATCAAAATATGGTGTATTAAAAATAACTAAATACTAACTAATTACATCAAACAAACAAAAAACCTAAACTAGTCTTTATTCCTTGTCCTAAATTCTATCAACTTGCCCATAGCCAGCTACCTAAAATTGATGGCCTGGGTCTCAGAAGGAAGAAACTCAGCCCCATTATGCTATTGTTATTGAATTCAAAGAGCAAAAGGACAGAGCTCTTTGAGGTAAGTCCTTTGAAAAGGGTAGAATACTTGCTCAGTAGATATTCCAATACAGTAAGAACAATAACCAGGACTAGCTGCTGGGAGGGGAGTTAAGAGACTGAAGCATGGCTGGGTAAGGTTATCAATTGTCTGTCCCTCCTTATCTAGGAGATTTTACTTCAAGAACTGGCGTGGAAAGTCCTTCTGTATATGTGTTGCTTTTATTGGTTAATGAACAAAGCTGTTTTGGTCAATGGCTTAACAGAGTAAAGCCAGGTGAGAAATCCAAACAGGGATGAAGAGAGAGACTAAGAGGAGACAGGGAGGAAACCATATAGCTACCATAGGAGACAGGCACCTTCACCAGAGTCTGCCAAAACTTTGCCGGTAGACCACAACCTCATGGTGATGTATAGATTATGGGATGGGTTAGTTTAGGTTATAAGAGCTAGCTAGAAATATGCTTAAGCTATTGGCCAAACAGTATTGCAAATAATACAGTTTCTGTGTGATTATTTTGAGTCTGAGCAGCCGGGAACAAATGAATAGCCTCCAACTACAAAAAACCCCCAAGAGAACCAAAATCCTTGAGTGTGCAAGTCTCTTACATAAGGTGGGAACCTAAACACATTCTCTTATACACTAAAAGTAATTTTGAGATTGCTAAAAATACCTAATAGGATATAAACGCCACATAAATTTTTATACTAAATGACTGAGAAACTAACAAGAACAAAAGGCCTACACATATTCAAGACAGGTATAATTCTCTTCTGAATTTTGTTCATCTGTAGCTGGCTAGATGTGATGAGCAGAGCCCATGGATACAGAGGGCTGACTGTGCACAGGAAATGCTATCCAGACACCAAATTGTGACACTATTCTCAATTGTTTCCAACACAGTCTTATGTCTACAGTCTTCCTCCCATTCTAGTCCACCCTAGCCTTATTTTACCCTCAGCTGAAGGGATTGCTCATCTTTCCTAGTCTTCACTCGGTAGATAAGTAGACATGATCAGAGAACAAAAAGAAATGATTGTACATGTTGTTCAAAGCAGCAGATACTAGCTGCATGTGGTGATTCACTTAAAGCAATAAAATGCCAAAAAATTGTTTTTAGTGTCACTAACCACATTTCAGGTGGTTGGTACCCATATGTATCTAGTGATGTGAATGTTAGACATGATACATCAGGAGTGTTTCCTACAATGCACAGTGCAGCACTTTCGTGAGCATTCCCATTCACTGTCCTACCTGGTGTAGTAGCATAAATATACATGGATGAAGAAATGGATTTTATTTCCTTTAGTAGGAGCTTGACACTAAGAAAACATGACCTGAAAAATTTCACAATTGCCACTTTTTGGGTGTGTGAAGTTAGGGATAAAGCACAGAGTCTTGCATGTGCTGTAAGATCATTCAATTATTGAGCTAAATCTCCATTTATGAATCCATGTTTTATAAATTCATGCTTTCGGTATCTTAGAAAATAAAGTCACATGTTTTCATGGAGATTTGGAGAGAAATAAATAAACTTGAAATCAAATTATTGAAAGAATTGGTCAGATTCCAAGGAAAAATAATTCATGAGTTTGTGTCAATATATTTTATTTGCAAGAATTGTTCATAGAAACTGCAGTAGCCAGAGATAGTGGCACACACCTATAATACCAGTATTCAGAAGGTTGAGACCGCAGGATCAGGAGTTCTTTGTCCAGAATTCTAACAAAAATAGTTATATCCAAATATGTATCTTGATACAAAGTTTCTTGGGCCTTCTCTGCTACGTCTTTATGTCCAGAATGTACTTACCCTTTTGCCTCCAGAAAGGTTCTTTATAATAAACTATGCACTTAATGACTGAACCCAAAGGCACACGAGTGATCAGCTGGTTTCTTAGCATCGGCAGGGGAGGACTATAGTGAATCTTCATGCCAAGAATAGGTGGAATGGCACTAATCACATATTTAGCCTGAAAGAAAAGTAAACATGGTTAAACACCATTGGCCTGCTACAGAAGATTTTTTAAATCCTCTCTCTCTCTCTTTATGTTTCTACCCTTGCTCCCTTTTCATCCCTTAACAGTGAAGCCAGAAAGACCTTGTTAAAAACTAAAGCAGCCTTTAATACTCCCTAGTTCTAAACCTTCCATGCCTTCCTGGTTGCCTCTCCATTCCACTTCTTCTTAGTCCCTGCCTTCATTTTGCTTGCGTTTTGATCACCTTGCATTACTTGGTCAGTCCAGACATGCTTCCAATTGAGGCCCTGGTCCTGGCTGTTGTTCCATCCATCTGTAGTTCTTTTCCCACAGAGTCATCTCCTTCAGCTCTAGTTTACCTATGTTGCCTTGCTAACAACCTTATTTAAAGTAACATGATCCATCATCCCAGTCATCCTTACAGGATGCCTTCTTCTTTTCCCATTTGATTTGTCTGCTGTGAATAATGTTCTTGTACACTGTAAAGATTTATGACTTGTATTAGTTTAATAAAATGCTGATTTGCCAGTAGCCAGGCAGGAAGTATAGGTTGGCTGACCAGACAAGGAGAATTCTGGGAGAGGAAAGGCACAATCTGCAACCACCAGCCAGATGTAGAGAAAGCAAGATGAGAATGCCTTACTGAGAAAAGGTATCAAGCCATGTGACTCAACATAGACAAGAATTATGGATTAATTTAAGATGTAAGAGCTAGTTAATAAGAAACCTGAGTTAATAGGTCAAGCAGTTTATAATTAATATAAGCCTCTGTGTGTTTCTTTGGGACTGAACAGCCGTGAGACTGAGCAAGACAGAAACCTTCATCTACATTCTTCCACACTACTTATCACTATTTGATACACTTTAGATTTCAATATATTTGGCTATAGCTTTAGTCTTTTGCTAAAATGTAAAACCTCATGAAGTGAGAAAATTCCAAACTCTTAGAATAATGCCAGGCCCATAAGCCATCCTTGATACTTATCAAATATTTCCTTTGGGTTTTTAATTACGCAAGGGTCAATTAAAGTGAGGACATTTTTAATCTTCTCTCCTCTCAAAGAGTTTCATTCCTTTTGTTTTCTTTCAGGCAGATGTAGCTCTGGCCAATCAACTCTAAGAAGTCTGGGCTATCCTTGACCTCATATATGCTTCAGTTACTCATGGGATTCTGATCGCTTTCCCTCACTTTGAGAGTCTTACTTACCTCATATATTTCATGGTTTAAGGTTTTCACAACAACATTTTCCCCATTCTGGTCAATGTGAACCACAGGCCTCTCAAGCTTCACTCGGTTCCCAAGGAGCTCCATTATCTGCTCACTCACTTGACCAGACCCACCAACAAATTTCCTTTCCTGGAAAGAAGAAAACTGGACTAAGGGTGGATGGTCAACATAAGAGCTGACATAAACAGCTAAGTGGCTGTTTCCCCTGGTTATTCCTTCTCTAATGTATATGAAATTTCATAGTATTATTGGGAATAATTTCCTATACATTGTTGTCAGATTTACTTTTACTTACATTTTTATTGTTAGTTGGATTTTTAACTAGAGGCTACTGTCATTTGACAAAATTATAGGCTTGGCTTATTAATTGACCCTAAAGCTATATTACTGTGGATTCCAGTGCTCCAAACTGAGATGAACATTCTCAGAATAAACCTGGTTTCCCTTTTGCCTGGTTAACACATTGTTCTGGGCCCCTTCTACATTCTTTGGCTGGTCCATTGGGCCTAGTCAAACTCTACCTACATATTGACCATCATTTTCCTGAGTATTACTAGTACTTGTCCTGTGACTCAGAATCAGACACCCCATTTCTGCCATTCCTACACTACACCTCCAGCACCAAGTCATCATTTTCCTTCTATTTTGGGTGGGCCCACCTTATCTAGGGTCATATGTCTGCTGCTCCATTGGCCACCAATGTCATTTCATCTTGCTGAATCTACCTGTCTGTTGGCCCGTATTTCATACAAGGTATTTGCAGCCAGGCTCTCTGGCCTTGCTTAATTTCCAAGGCAGCTGCAATCCTGCCAAACAAGCTAGCCACCTAACAAAGGCAAGGATGTATGGCTCCTTCTCTTTTGTTAAAATGTAGATCGCCTGGGGAGAGGTGAAGAATCCAAGCTGGTGACTTAGGTTGCAGGTGATTCAGTAGTCCCATGTCCCCGGAAAGAGAATATTAATGAATTTCCACCTTGGTTTACCCAGGGGATAAAAGGTGTTTGAATAAAAAACGCGGGTAGATCTTCAGGAATGGATGAAGCCTGAGATGTCATTCCCATATTGCTGTGTGAACTGTGTCTCATTATTTCCCGCACCTCTGTATGGGTTGAGTTAGGGAAAAATAGTTTCTATATTGGGGCCACGGACCCTGACACCTGTCTTCAGCCCTGTTTCTAAACATTCAGGAGTTTCTGAATACTATACCTGGCTATGCACACAGTTTACCTGACTGCCTCCTCATCCTCAAGTTTTAGAGCAGCTAATTCAAAAAGCATTATACTATTATTAGTAGTAATTGTGTGCGTGTGTGTGTGTGTGTGCATGATGTGTATATGTGAGTGGAAGTGTTAAGGTCAGGGAGCAATTTTATGGAGCCAGTCTTATTCTTTCTACCTGCTCTGACTTGAGTTCTTGGGGTTGAACTTAGCTGTTAAACTTTTATAGCAAGCTCTTTTACCTGCTGAAGAGCTTCATTATTCATTGATTAACTTTTTAAAGACTTTTTCAAATAGGTCTACAAAGAAGGTGAAAAGAGGAGGAGGAAGAAGAAAGGATAGGAGATGAAGAAGACAGGAAGGAAAGGAGTAAGACAACCAAACAGATTAAAAACTTAAATTCATTTTATACTCTGCCTAACAGGGGACCTTTCACAATGCTCAACAAACAGGCATTGAATAAATAAAAGGAAGAATGAATCCTCATATGTGGCGTCGCTTTTCAAGACATTCACCTCTTCCTTCCTTCATTTATTTTCTCTTTATTTCTTTTTCTTTCTTAGTACTGGAGAAGGATCCAGAGCCTGTTGCATTCCAGGGAAGTGTTCTTTCAATGAACTACAGCCCATACTTTGGCATGTTCTTTAAATTTAAGTGCATGTCTGTGTTTTCCTGTTTGGAATTTCTGAGGAGCCTCTTAAAATTTCCACTTGGATACCTGACAACAGATGGTTCCTTCCGAAAGCTACTTGAAGCTACCACGGTAAATAAAGCATGACAAACTACAAGCCTGTCTTATTCATCAGCATCTAGTGACTGCAGAATGACACCCATTTCTGTAGTAGTGAGTTTGTGTGGGTACAGTACCTGCCCTCCATTGGTAGTTGAGATGATTCTGGTTGTGCCCCCACACTGCTTTACGTACCACAGGAACCACAAAGCAGAGACCTCATGGGTCTCTGCAGTGACACACAGGTTCACAAAGAGAGTAGCAAGTTGCTTTGCCGAGCTGTTCAGAAAGAAACAAGAGTATGGTTCGCAAATGCAGAACAGAGCCTTCTGAAAGGTCTAGAGTAGTCAAGTTTCTTGTTTCCTTGGCTATGTTTACTACAATTTAACAAACTTCTGGAATTCAGTATCATAAAACATGAAAACATGGACTTGGAAATTTATGCCCCCTAAAACAAAACACCTTTTTCAGAATTGACTTTGGCGTCATAGCCTGTGGCATCAGTTGTCCCTACACACTCACTAGTCTTCCTAAAATTCTTCTTTGGGTAAAAGGCACTCACTTTCACTAAGTGGTTAAAGCCAAGACTCTCAAAAATAATCTTGACTCTCTGTCTCTATCTCTCTCCTCCCATAAATCCAAAGTGTATTTATGTGCACCACATATGTCCAGTTGTTGAAAAGGGTGTTGGATCTTTTGAAGGTAGAGTTTCCAGGTGGCTGTGAGCCACTTGATGCAGGTGCTAGGAAGTGAACCCAAGTCATCTATAAGAGCTATTTCTGCGACTGCTTATCTATTGTTTCTTACTTAAAAACTTATGATAAAATTTAATTTATAGATCTAGGGATGTGGCTTGCCCATTTTGTGTAAAGATTTGGGTTCAGTCCTGAGCATTACAGACTCCTTTAATGTCCTAATTAAAGAAATTATCAATAGCTAATAATAAAATGAATAATCATAAAATTATAAAGTAATAAAATTTATGTGAGTGTAGTCCATCTCTCCCATGAAGACAAATGTTCTTTCTGGGCAAAGACTAATGATGGTTAATTGAAGCTGTAGGTGAAGGAGAAAAACTGCATTTCTCCGTGTCAAGCAAATCCATTCTTAATCTTTTGTTTGATTTACTCTGGGAGTTTCAGCAAGAAAAAAATGAACTTTACAGCATTTAAGGGATGAAAGATCAAGAAGTCTAGAGTAATAATGTTTTGTAATTTTGCCTTCTTTACTTTAAAAAAGATAAACATTATATTAGTTTCATTACATAAAATATATACACATTAAATGAGCTTTGATTCATAATTCATAAGATAAAAATATGAGGCAATGAGTACTTTCCATATTTCTGCCATCTAAAAGAAATTACAAGTCTAATTTTGATGTGTTCTTTTTCTACATATAGTTTTTTTCTAAAACATAATTGCATACCTAAGATCCCAATGAAAATACACTTTGCTCATCTGAACAACATTTTAAAAATTATGACTAAGGAAATGACCAGCACTAGTCTTTGAATGTATGCTTGTCATTTTTTATTGTTTTTATTGAGCTATGCATTTTTCTCTGCTTCCCTCCATTCCTTTCCCCTCCCCTTCAACCCTCTCCCATAGTCTCCTTGCTCCCAATTTACTTAGGAGATCCAGCCTTTTTCTACTTCCTATTTAGATTAGATCCATGTTATGTTTCTCTTAGGGTCCTTATTGTTGTCTAGGTACTCTGGGATTATGAATTGTAGGCTGATTTTCTTTGTTTTATGTCTAAAAGCCACTTATGGGTGAGTAGATATGATATTTGTCTTTCTGGGTCTGGGTTACCTCACTCAATATGATGTTCTCTACTTTGAATAAGAATAGGCTAATTGTTTGAGCGCTGTTACCTTTAAAGTCAGCAAATGATCTCATGTACATCTTGCTTAGTAATAATTAGAAAATGCCTCAATTCTTCTTTAAATAAATATCTCAACATTCTTTCTGTGAGTTGGCCACCAAAGGTATTCACTAACTGGAGGCTGAGGTCAAGGCTGTTGAAAGAATCTCAGGTCTCTATCTACTTAGAGAAACATAACTGATTCTATTGTGAAGGTGCCTGAAAGCTCTTTGAGGACAGAAGATCAACTAGAATTTATTAAAAACATTCCATAACAGAAGTTCCAGAACAGATATAGATTATCTTATTGGAAATCTACAAACTTTATAAGTAATCATAATTCTACTACAGCAAAAATATGTCCTATTATAAATTATGTTCTCATATGAAGTTTTAAATGTCATAGATAAGTGTTCTTAAATGATACAATAACCATAAATTTTGTAACACAAATGATCCTTTCAGAATGGATTGCTTTATACAATATGTGCATAATAATAATAATAATAATAATAATAATAATGAAAGCTTTGAGGCAGTCAAAATATCCAACCGAACAGTAATAGGTAAATGCATTGTACCATTCACTATTCACTAAATATATTGCAGTGAATGTCCTTTGTTTTTTATAATGCATATTATAAATAATTTTATTTTCAGAGTTGGGATTGTATATCTCACCATTAATAATCTATGAAAGCCCACTTTTCTTTTTCTTTTTTAAAATTACTACACCGCTTGGCCAATAGCTTAGGCTTCTTATTAACTAACTCTTACATGTTAAATTAACCCATTCCTATTAATTTGTATTTTATCACATGGCTTGTGGTTTACAGGTAAAGTTCCCAGAAAGCCGACTTTTCTATGTGTTTAATATTATTTTTTAAACAACTAAGTATTCTTCTACAACATGATTTTCAAACTTTCTAGTTTATCCCATCTTTTGGATACCTTTTATTTCATCTAATCAGTCTTCGATTATTAGAGTTTCAGATCCTCCCTGAGGAGTGGATGGGCAGTGGGGTGGGGGGAGCAGAAGGAGGGGAGGGAGAGGGATTTGTATGTAAAATTTTGTATTGTATTGTATTGTATTGTATTATAAAAGGTGTTTCAAATGCTTGTGCTCTCTACACTTAACCACCAGTGAGGAATACAAAACTATCCCTATGTCAACAATATCAGAGACTATTAAACCACTGGACTTTAAAATGTTCTAAGAAAAAAATGGCTGATTCTGGTTTGTTCTGAGGACTTCATAGGGGAAATAGCAGCTTGGTGGCACAAAACTACATTGAAGAAGTAAAAATATCTATATTTAGAGGAAGACTTTGTTTCAGGATCTTTCATCTATTTCCTTACTCAGTGGTATGGTTTTCGACATAAAGCAGACACTTGATTGCGTCCTGTCTGTTAAATGGCATACCAAATAAACCCCAAGGATTTTCACAATAAATGCTTTTGCCCAATGGGAAATCTTACTTAGTCCAGCAGATCTTATCTAGCAATTCTTTCATTGACATGTAGTCCCACTCTTCTGCAAGGGGTGCCTTCCAAGGAGCATCACTGGGAATCTACATTGAGATGCATTAAAGAAGAAAGAAAGACAATTTTCCATTCAACTAACTATTTGTACAACATTAAAGGATCTAACTCAAAGAAGAAAAAATTGAAAATTTAATTTTCCAAGTGCCCCTAATAGTTTCTCAAATAGCATAAATCTGTCTGTGTAACTCTTCTGTCACAAATCTATAGCACTCAATTTATAGTAACTTTCCTTTAGAATTAAGATATTTATCTTATAAAATATATCTACAATAAAATTTATTGCACCATGAACAGCAATATATTAGCAATAACAAAACAATGTTTATAACAATGTATTATAATAATCTATGTGATTGTTGTGTCTCTGGAGTTTTCTCTTTAATAATTTCCAACTGCAGTTGGCCATAGATAATTACAATCATGGAAACTGAAGCTACAGGTAAGAAAAATTAAGTTAATAGCTTACAGATATCACTCACAAATTCAACTCTTTAACTTGAATGAAAGAATTGCAGCTAACCATCTGGAAATCAGTTTTCAGTTAAAGCTTCCATGTGTTTATTTGGGAGCTGCAAGTTTGGGTGTGATGGATAATCAAATAACTGTCTATGTCCTGGGGGATTTTCTAAATCCCAGAAAGGCTTCAGGCTTCATACTTCTCAACTTGCTCAATAAGTGTATACAAATAGCAGTATTTTTGATAGCTCATTCTTTTAAACATTAGAAACAAATTAGTTCATTTATTTTACTGATGTGTATTGATTGCTAGTATGTGCTGGGCACTATGTTATGCATGCGAGATGACCAATACTTTGTACCTTCTTTCTTCTGAAGAATAATGAAAAATACATATGCAGCTTTAGGAAGTGTTACCTCATCACCCATCTCGTCCATTGTCCTCCAGAGGTTGTTATGATCTAGGTAGGTAATTGGATTCCATACTGCTGGGAATGGGCCTCTGAAGGGGTATGATTTTCCCTGTGAAATATAAAAATTTAGAAGAAAACATTTAAAACAGTGTAAATCTTGTTAAATCTGCTAAGTTGGCATTTTTGAAAATTATTTATTTTATTTTATGGGCACTGATGTTTTGTCATGGGTGTCAGTTTCCCTGGAATGGAATTACAGGCATCTGTGAGTAGCCAAGTGGGAGCTGGGAATTGAACATAGGTCCTCTGGAAGAGCAGTCAGTCAGTCAAGGACCTTCTTATGAGTGAGTAGTAACAATCTGGATGAACAAATTGGCAAACAAAGAACATACCAAGAACACCATGCTGAAGAATACACGTGCATTTCTTATGCATGAATTTGCTCAGTCCTCAGGGCCTTACATCTAAGCATATAATGATTTAGTTCAACTGTATTCATAAAAGCAAGTATGCTTTTAGAAGATGAGGGAAAGTTTCTTATAAACACAGGAAAGAGCTATTGTTGGATGACTCATTTAAAAAAATCTCAAAGTTTTAAGCTTCAAGGAATAATCAAGAGAGGAAGGAAATGGAAGTTTATAAGACCGCACAACCAAAGGCACTGCAAGAAATTTGGAGCTCAGGTTTGGCTATGGTATAAACAATCCTGCAATTATAACTGTTTTGAGTACTGTCCAAGACAGCCTGTCCTTCTGAAGAAATCATGAAAAGACATCAGAGTAACTCCAGCTCACAAAGCACCAAGTTCCAAAGTCTAATTCTGGATAGCATTTTTGTTTTGTCCTCAAAATAGCCCTGTGATGTAGCATGGTAATTTTTTAACGTACTGTGGGTTAAAAAGATAGAGCACAAATAATGACTGCTTTGAAATATTACAAATGTCAGGTGAAAGCTACTGGACTTTCCATTTACTCTACAGTAGCTGTGTAGGTCAAAACTGTGTACATGTGTGTACTCATGTGTACCAATGTGCATGTGCATGTGTGGAAAGAGAATGGGGACTATCTGGCAATTGTCAGGAAATAATCATTAGTCTATATATAGACTGTTGACTAATACCAAAATCTCTATGATCAAAGAAAGTTAAAGGAGTTTTCCAAAATAAGCACTATAAAGCATCAGAGGGATTAAGGTATTTGGGAGAAAGGTACATTTTCCTCTGAGCTCCCCAAACAGAACAGTGAAGTAGATTTATAGGCAAATAGATGGTAGAAGTCCACAACAGCCCCAAGCTCTTTGAAAGATACTTCAGGGAATGTGGAAAACTGTGAGGAGGTAGGGAAGGTTGAATAGCAAAGATTATTAACTATGCTTGGTTTAAGTGTCACACACAGTTAAGCACATATGCATACACACACACTATTGTAAAATTTCTAGATGACAAGGAAGTTATGACACTTAGATATTTATGGTGCACAGTATTACTCTGTAGTAGAATACTTGCCTATCGTATACTGGGTTTGATCCCTAAAATTACAGGATGCAAAATTAAAACAAAGTAATCATTTATGGTTTTCATCAAGCAAAAATTAATCATCATTATAAGTATTTCAACATGTTTATTTCACCCATTTATTCATTTATACATTTGATGATTGAAGTATAGGTATCTTATCTAAGCAATTACTTTCTTGCTAGTTTTTAGCCTATTTTATATCCTAAACATGTTGTATGCCATTTCTTAAACCTTGTCAACCATATTTTTCTTGATAAATAGATTATATTTCATTATGTATGGAGACTAACCATAGTCAAACTGAGCTTAAAGGATTCTGCAGGGTTTCTGAAATGAACAGGGTAGAATTAGCTGTCTCCATTTTCCAACCATACATCCATATGATGGAATTTTTTTATATATTCCATCCCAAACAACATGTTTCAATGAATTAAATGTTAATAAAGGTACAATAACCCAGCTATTTTCCATGGAGCAGGATGCAAACAAGTTATGTAAAAATGTAAATACATGCTATCCACTCATATTTTTCATTTTAAAAAAATTCTTAACTTTTTCTCATACAATATAATTTGAGCCTATTATATTTCCTCCTCCAATTTTCTAGATCCTCTCAACCTCCCTAACTGCCCAACGTTATTCTCTCTTTCCCTCTCTCTGTCAATAAAATCCCCCAAGCCAAAAACTGAAAAATGAACAACAACAAAAAGCTCACAAAATGGGGAAAATTACTTAACCAAACCCACTCAGAAATTTGAGTGCCTGCCCTGGAGTGTGGTTGATATTCCCACACAGATTTTCTTCCTTTGCAAGCAGATGTTAATTGGATACAGCTTCTTGGTTAGGGGTGAGACCTTGTGTTCACTCTCTCCTCCTAGTACTGGAATCCCATTTGCTTGAACCTGTGCAGGTCTTATGTGTGTTGTCATCGTGTCCTTGTATGCACATGCGTCAGTCCTGTTATATCTGGAAGACCCTGCTTCCTTTGTGTCACCCATGACCTCCAGATCTTACATCGTTCTTCATACTCACCTTGAGGCGACAGGTTTGGTTAAAAACATCCCATTTAGGGTTGAGTGCTTCAAAGTCTCTCACCCTCTACACACTGTTGAGTTCTAGGCCTCTGTGCTACTTACAACCTTCTGCAAAAAGCTTCTCTTAAGAAGGTTGAGTGAGGCTTTGATGTATGCATATAGCAATATGTCATTAGGAGTCATTTTCTTGTTATTTTTTCTTTCGCAGAATAATAGTAGTAGGCTTTCCCCTAAGGCACATGACCTATGTAGTATCAGGTTCTTGGCCACTTTAGCAGGGTCATGTATGGGCTGCATCTCATGGAGGAGGCCTGAGTATAATTTTAGAAAGTACCTTGTTACTTCCCTGTTTCTGTTACTATTATACCAGTATATCTTGTATGCTGGTCACTGTTATAGGTCTCAGGGTTTGTAGCAGGGTGATACTAATGATAATTTTCTTGCCCTGGTAGTGTGCACAGTACACAACAGCACCATAAGTCCTATTCAATAGTGGTGAAGCTTCTGGCTGGGTGCCAGCTCAATATCTCCATGTTAGATGACAAAAATCAGCTATATCTTCAGCACCAGGATTTGGAAAGTAACCAGTTGCTTTGTCAATAGTCTGTGATGTTTTGGGGATCCATAAAACCCCTTTGGCCAATGACTGATCAAGATGTAACCTATTCCTATCATGATGTAACCCATATAAATATGTATTTTATATATACATAAAACATACATAAATATATGTATAAACAAACAGTTTGTAATAGAGTTATTGTGGTGACTTTAAGTGGATTAATAAATAGAGAATTCTGTTTCAATTTCTAATATAGCAGTTATAGAGCCAGAAAAACAAAAGCCAGTTGAGATTCTCGATAGTTTTAAAAAATACAAAAGTATGACATAATTTGGAATAGAACCTCATGACAAGAGATAAAAGATGGCTTTTAAGAAGATAACAGAGCAGATTCAAAGTGGCTCTGAAATGTGATAGTCCTATGATTAAAGGGAGTTCTATGATTAAAGGAAAATGGGTAAAGATTTGCAAACTTCAGTTCTCTCTCTTTTTTTAAAGATTTATTTATTTTTTTATGTCTATTTATATGCATAGCCCATAGAAGCAGATTTACAGACAATTATAAACCACCATGAGGGTATCCTCTGCAAGAATAGCAAATGCTCTTAACTGCTGAGGTATCTCTCCAGGCTCAGTTAATTTTATTGTATTGTGTATGCATATACGTGTATGTATGTATGTATGTATGTATGTATGTATGTATGTATGTATGTAGTGGGACTGGAGCTGTAACTGCAAACCACCGGCATAGTAGGCAGGTGTTGTACATGGAGCTATTGCAAACTCTTGTTCTCTTAACTTGAGGATCAGAATTACAATCTGTCTCTCACCTGTGTGTGGCAGGAAGCACTGAAGGTTATACACAGCACAAAGGATATGTACATACTAAATGACAGTGGCTGAGGGTTGTGTAGCATGATAAACTGTCATCTAAGTTATCTTATAAAACTATTCCAGGTTCTGTTAAGCTTATTTATTTTATGCATATGAACGCTCTATTTGCATGTATGACTTTATGTCAGAAGAGGGCATCAGATTTCACTAGAGGTGGTTGTGAGCGGCCATGTGGTTGCTAGAAATTGAACTCAGGACCTTTGGAAGAGTAGCACATGCTTTTAACTGTTGAGTCATCTCTCCAGCCTACCATTTCATGTTTTAAAAGTAATCTTCTTTGGGTTAATTCTGAGAGTCTGAATTCTGGGTATGAAGGATTAGATCAAATTTTATGGCAAACTTTGTGAAAGGAAGAAAAGAATTTGATATTCATATGGCTTTATTTTGGAGCCTGTAAAGATTTGCCAGGCATTGGAAAACCATTTGAACTCTGCCTTCTGGAGCCTCTACTTTAGAGAAGAAGGTTTGTTTGGTGACACTAGAGTCAGTATCAAGGACCTGTGGGTCCTTCCCCATTTCCTTATCTTTGTTCTGGAGGGCCAGGCCTCATATTTCTATCAACTTTCCATTGCCTTCTTGTTGTCAATTCTAATGTCAGTCACTACCAGCAGGAGTAAGTGGCTTCATTCTTCTTAGATCAGTCTCCTAAAGGATGGACAAAATGTCACCTCAAATGTTCATGGGAACCTTGCCTTCTTGGCCTTGGAAGCCTAGGATAGTTATTTGTCTTTCTATGGTATTGCCACGTTTATACATATCAATTAGGCTATTCTTAGGACATACCCATTTAAAGGATCAAGCTTTCTTTCCTTTTGATCTATAGTTTCAGTGTGAGAGAAGAGAAACATAATCTTTCCCATGGGGTAAGACCTGCAAACTGTACAGGAAAAAATATTTTTCTTCCTCTGTTGACATGCTGGCTTTGCTGACCGAATTCATATTTATTAACACCCAACCAGACATTGAGATTCTCTTTTGATAGGATCAACACATAGAGTAGATGTGGTTTTTAAAATCTGCCATCAACTTCCCAGCATATAAAAAGACTGACATTGCTTAAGTAGGGAAAGATGGGAAAGATAGAGCTGCAAAAAGCAGGTCAG